GTGTGTGTGTGTGTGTGTGTGTGTGTGTGTGTGTGTGTGTGTGAATAAGTGGAAATTCCCCTTTTAGTTAAATACAAAACATCAGAGAATACGAATAAAAACCTTTGTTTAAATCTGGAATTCATATTCAGAATCTCAGTGTGAACTTTTTCATATTCCCTGCAAAAATGCAATGTGAATGCTTATTGTTGAAAGATTTTTGCTGAAAGTAGCTGAAGTCAAGTAAAAGTAGCTAAAATTGGCAAAGAGAAGCTAAATTAGCAGAAACTAGTTGACATTAGCAGCCAAATGGTGAAATTAGAGAGAGAAAAAATAGAAAAAGAAGAAAAGAAGTATAAAAAGTTGCAATTAGTTGTAAAATTGCTAAAACAGTTGAAATTAATTGAAAAAGCTAAAATGTAGCTGAAAAGGGAAAAATTAGCACAAATAAAAGGAAAGGGCACATTCGCTGAATTAAGCAGTAAGAAGCTGAAACATCACAAAAAGTTGAAATAAAGCCAAAATTAGCTGAAAATAAGTAGTTAAAAATGCAGCTGAAATTACTAGAAAGCAGCTGAAAGAAGCACAAAAAGATTAAATTAGCTGAAAGAAAAGTATAACCAGTTGGAATGAGAATAGCTGAAAGATGCAGAAGGAGAGATAAATAAAAGAAGAAATAATAGCAAAAAAGAAGCTTTAAGAAGCCAAAATTAKCACAAAGAAGCAGAACACAAGGTAAAAAAACAGGAACGTTTTGAAGGGTATTGTTTGTTCATAATGGCTCCATTCATTTTTAATGAGAAAAAATGGAAGCAAAAGCTAAATATCTCACAAAGTATTGCTGAAATACCAAAGGCCATAGCTGGATTATTCTCAAGGAGCTGAACATTTTGATATACTCTATAAATTGTTGAAATAGCACAAAAATTGTGGTACAAGATAAATGCCGAAAAAAGTATGGCAGATAAATGGATCATCTCAGTAGAATTATGACGAGCTTTAACTTCTGACACCTCAAATGTCCTGCAGTTACCCTGTATGTGTACATGAATATGTATGCTCATGTTCCTGGGCATGAGTATGATTTAGACTAAATGTGGGAGGAACTCCACCCAGTTGAGTCAAACAAAGAAACCTTCTAACCATTACCAGACTGCATTTTGACACAAACTGCTCTAACAACCTCACACACACGTTCACTTTGCCTTTAAAGCTGAGGATTTATTGCTCCAAAAAATAATGAGCAACTTTTTTTTCCAGTGGGGAAAAAATATTTAAAACTTTTCKTTCTCTGCTGTGTTGTCTTCCATCGCTTCTACACAAAGCCTCGTTTTGCTTCATCAAATAAATCTTATATTCAGTTTCTGTACAACTAACCCACCCACAATCACTGACACGACATATTAGTCACATTATTAGGGATTTTTTTACTTCTTTGTATAATGCAAATTGATACAATGCTCCATAAAAAAGTAGAAAACATAATAATTGTTATACAAAATGTTGTTTTCCCCTGCCAACCAGCAGCCATCATTACATTCTGTACAAATAKAAGACAATATTATGTCTGCGGAATCAGTATTAGCACCATATTTGAAATCAGTGGTACATCATTCATATGTGTACAAAAACAACAAAAAAAAGTAAAGTAAAGAAAAGAAAAAGTCACATGTTTAGAGGCATTTGCAGGTGTGAGGAAATGAAAGAGGAAAGGCTCCAATGAGGAAGGCGAGGTCAAAGGAACTGGACTTCCTCTGGAGTCTGAAATGATAGTGAGTTCAGCTACTTTGAAAAAAAAGGCTTCAGATTTTGTTTCCTGTAAYAAAGCCAAGTTCAGGATGTGTTTCTTGAGCGTTTCAGTTAAGAGAACTAGATATTCTAAAAGCTGAAGCAAAGATGGAAACTGACTCTAATTTACATATATTAGTTTCAAGGCAGCACAGTGGTAACATGTTCAGGTTTGAGTGAGTTTCTCTGGGTTTTAGTCGGAGAATCTCTGCATGCTGCCGTCCCTGCGAGCGCCACAGCTGTCCAGAAAGCGATCGCAGGGAAACTCGATGAGATCTCCTTCCTCCAGCGGCGCGAGTCGCGACGGCCGACTGCTCTGGTAGCTGGTGAAGTCTGTGGACATGGAGGTCGAGGCCATGCCGGGGCGGAATGGCCTCCTCGTGGAGTACATGTGACGCACATGTACGGCTGACTTCCTCTTCTGCAGCCTCCGCCTGAGGCTCCGCCCCACCCAGACCCCAGTGATGACCAGCAGCAGCACGCCGTTCCCCACCAGCGTCGCCACCGTCACCAGCTGGAGGTCGGAGGTCAGGGTGGCATTGCTGCGGCCCTCCTCCTCGGGGAGGGTGACTAGCCCCCCGCAGTGGTCCCGAGGCGCCACTTGGCACACGGATCCTCCCACCACTCCTTCTACGCAGACCATGTAGGTCACCCCTGGGGTGAGCTCTCGAAGGGTTACGGCGCGGGACGAACCGGGGGCGTAGACGTAGCGCGGGAAACGATCCGGGTTGCCAAATCGGTCAAACAGAATTCGAAAGTGGACTTCGTGAAGGGCCATCCTGGGTCCCGACGTGTAGCGGTGGTGAGCCCTGGTGGTCCAGTAGACAGTGACGGTGGTAGACGTCACTTCATCCACGGACACGTTAGTGATGAAATGGCGATTGAACACACAAGGATCTGTGATCACAGGTAGAGCCTCCTCCTGGGCTGACCTCAAAAGATCAAACTTTTCCTTGGACTGGACCGGAGAACTGGTACTGGACCACATGCTTGTTTCATGACTTGGATTGGAAGTTGTTGATGGATTCGTCTTTGCAGGAATCTTGGACCTGCGTCTTCCTTTGGGACGTTTAGCAGCAGACTCTGCAGAACGATGCTCTGTTTTTGCTTCTTTTAGAAAAGACAAAGGTTTTGCACCCTCTTGGTCTTCCTGGATATCTTGTCCCGCTCTTTTCCTTTTCTCTCCTTCTCTTCTCATTGTTCCACCCCTGCTCCCTTGTCCCAAACCTTCTGTTCGATTTCTCTCACCAGTTTTCTCTTCGTCATCCAGTGGGTACAGCGCTCCTCTTTTCTCTGCCTCCACCTTCACCAGCACGCCCCCTCCCCGGCTCTCCTCGGGGCCGGCTCCACTCGTGCAGGAATGGCTCCAGTTCCCTCGGGGCTGCAGCTGGGAGCTGTTCACATAGTCCAGATACTTCCCCCTCAGAGTTACAGGGTGGTGGCATTGCACCGACGCAGCCAACAGTTTGCCCCGAGAATGAGCTGTAATCATCCATCTCTTCAGCTCCTCCAGGCGACAGTCGCAGGTCCAGTTGTTGCCCCGGAGATCCAAGTCATAAAGCACATTGTTCAGGGCAAAAATACCCCCTGACAGACTGGTGAGGACGTTGTTGCTCAGCTTCAGCACCTTCAGATACTTCAGTTTGGAAAAGGCCGAAGAGTTCACGTTGGCGATTCGATTGCGACTGAAGTCCAGTCGCTCGATGCGCACCAGAGGGTCCAGGAGACCGGTGGGGACTTCCTCCAACTTGTTGCCATCAATCAGAAGCTCCCTGAGGCTCGACAGTCCCTTCAGGGCCTCGCTGTCCAAACGAGAGATCCTGTTGTTGCTGAGGGAAAGCTTGGTCAGCCTTTTGAGATTCTGGAAGACGTGGTTTCCGACGTGTTGTATCTCATTCTCGGACAGCAGCAACGTTGTAAGAGCTCTGAGCTGAGAGAACGTGAGAACATTGGTGACGGCGGACTGCTTGTTGTGGGCCAGGTTCAGGAAGCGCAGCTGGGACAGTTTGGAAAAAGCATCTCTGTGGACATGTTGCACTTTGTTGTGTTCCAGGTGGAGATAATGCAGACTGGTTAAACTTCTAAAAACAGAATCTTGCAGAACATCTATGGAGTTGCCATCCAGGCGCAGTTTTACCAGATTCTCCAAGTTGCAGAAGATCTCTGGTGTGATTTTCTTCAGGGCATTGTTGTTCCCATAGAGAACAGCTAGTTTCCTCAGGGGCTGTAAGGTCCCAGCAGCTACATCTGTTAACAGATTATGACCCAGAAACAGCTCCTCCAGCTGGGACAGTTTCTCAAACGCCTTTGGGTGAATATCTGATATTTGATTGAACTGCAAGTTCAGCCTGATGAGGCGACCATACCGTGAGAAATCGGAGGCAGAGATGTTGGCGATGAAGTTCCCCGCGAGGTTGAAGATCAGCGCGTCATCGGAGCTGGGAGCTGGTTTGGACACGGCGCGCAGCCCGCGGTTGGCGCACAGGAGTTGCTGCGGGTGCGCACAGTCGCAGCGTTCGGGGCAGAAGTCTGTCACCGGCGAGACAGACGGCGGAAGCAGCAGGAAAAAGCAGAGCCCCAGCAGGACGCGGCGCGTATCCATGTCCGGAGCGCGGCTGGAACAAGCGCCGAGGCGTTCATTCGGATTTGTGACGTTCAGGTGCAGTCTCCTCCGTCACGCTGCACAGCTCCATGGTTTGTCGTTAGAACGCTGCTCACCTCATGGCTGCACCGCTGAGCGGCGGGTTAATTGGTCCAATGCGCTCTGAGGCTGGATGAGGAAACGATCACCTCCTGAATCCCCCTCATGTGGTCATCTGCTGTGAACACACACACAGACGAGCACACTCACGCTCACACACACAACACACACACAACGAAGAAGTCCCTCCCMCGCAACTCTGTGACCCTGCCACAACCAGATGTGCACGTTTGACGCACGACATAAAACGCGCGCAACTCTCCACTTTGACCGAGTTCTGTGCGCGCCCCCGCAGCCACCGTGGGGGATCAGATTCCTGGTGTGCACACACGAGAACATGTCCTTTCCACAGGATCCCAAAGAAACACTGGGAATCTTTTTTTTAAACAGTATTATTAGACAAGGCAAAACACTATCGCCCACCTTGTGCCTGCGTTTTTGTGAAAGTTACCAAAATACTTTGGGAACATGAAACTCAAAATAGCCACAAACATGAATGGCCATAACTCCGTCAATCTGACAGATTTTGAGCAATAATAATAATAATAATAAAAGAAATGGTATGATAAAAGCTGAGTCCTCCCCAACACACACTGCAACAAAAATAAGTTACAAAAACTAAATTATAGTCTGAATATTCTCAAATTAAGTGAAATAATCTGCCAGCGCAGTAAGATTATTGCACTTGGTAAATTATTTTGAAATAATAATAATAATAAAATTAAATCCAGGCTAACAAGATTAATAATCTAACACATTCGTGACAAAAGATCAACAATACTTTCTGGCAGGATATGAGATGGGAAAACTTGATTAGATGGACATTTTTTGCAGTGCACAACCAAGCTCCAACTTATCTTGCGAGACCTTTGCTTAAAACTATGCCATTAACAATAGGAGTTAACCCTGTTTGTTAGCAAAATATCTCATGAACCACTTCACGGGTTTTACTGAAACGCTCAGAAACTAATCTTTAGCCTCACATTAACAACTGATTAACTTTATGAGTCAATCCAATACAAGATGGCCACCACAGCTAATTCATCTCAGCCTTTACAAATATAAACATAACTCAGCAAATGCACAGATAATGAGCTAAAACTCGGTATCATGGTAGTTGACAGACATTCTTAACATATAATACAGATCACTTGAGCTCTCACCATATGATATAAAATCCATTCACTTGTTCTGCATGCTCCTTGTTTCAGCATCATCTTCAAGCCAACTTGTAATTTGTTCTTGTATTAATTTGCCTTGTTTGTTACAGATCAAGAGTCCATGTAAAGTCATGTCAGAGAGGTGCCAAAACTGAATTGTCTCAAACACAACTGGGTCAGTGGTGTCTGTATTTAGTGCCAAGTTATATACAAAAAAAATTCAGACCTCTACATGAAGGTTTCTGGATATTTTTAAGCATGTAATATCACTATCAAAATCCCTGCATTTATGGCAAACATGAGGTCTGCATGCACCAAAGCCTGCACAAAACAAATACAGATTAAGTGATTTTGATCATGCTGTGGAACATTACTGAACTGATCCAGCTGATTCTGATTTAGCAGGAAATTAGCAAAAGGAAAAAAATTGAGTGTTTCCAAAAGTTCATAATTAGGGCACGGAAAGGCCAAAGCTTTAGGCACAAAAACTGATCAGCTGACTTGTGTTTGAGGCATAACTATAGAAACACTGGTGTGTTTACAGAGTGTGTCCCTGTGATAGAGTTTTATTGGACTTATTAAACTTCTTAAGGTGTTTCAAATAAAGTCTTGAGGTACGTGACAAATTTATTATTCATCATGGCGTGTCCACAGACTCTCTTAA